AGGGAAAGACAGTTGAAGTTGGAAGAGCACATTTTGAGACAGAGACAACAAGATTTACTATTTTGGATGCACCTGTGAGTATTTGCATTACATGGTTATCCTCAGATCCGTTTTATGTATTGTGGACATGCATATTCTCTTGAGCAATGATCTTCTGTTTTGAACTACTTAGAGGACTTTCTGAATGATATTCCTCCCTTGATTCAATTGTTTTCTTATTCTGTATTCTGTATTTTAAAACAATTCAACCATTTTATGCTTCCACGAAGAAACAATCAATATTGAATTACAATGCTTACGCAGGGTCACAAAAGCTATGTTCCTAACATGATTAGTGGTGCATCTCAAGCTGATATTGGAGTGTTGGTTAGTCTATGACGTGAATCTGTTTCTTAAACAAAAGTATGTGCTTCTTCACAAGTATTTGATGTTATACCTGTCTCTGTCTGTCTGTTTTATGCCCCATCAATCAGGTTATTTCTGCTCGGAAGGGAGAGTTTGAAACTGGATACGAGAGAGGTGGACAAACTCGTGAACATGTCCAGCTTGCTAAAACACTGGGTGTGGCTAAGCTGATTGTTGTTGTCAATAAAATGGATGAGCCTACCGTGCAGTGGTCAAAAGAAAGGTTCTCTTGCTCTCATTTGCTGCCCACACTGTGTGTGCTTGCTTATATGCAATTTTAATAAGATTTCCTTGCTTTTGGTGTGCCATTAGGTATGATGAAATTGAGTCAAAGATGGTTCCATTTCTAAAGCAATCTGGTTACAATGTGAAGAAAGGTATCCACCTTTTATTTGTTTGAGAGTGTTGGAATTTTAAATTTCCTGTCCTTTTAATTCTTTTGTTTTTTAATTGTGGGATCCTGGTGCAGTGAGTTATCTAGCTTTTATAGGGAGAGCATGCTTTATTTAATAAAAAATATGATGGGTTGAAGGACTGTGTTATATTTTCTCTTAAGCTTGTTCTCGTCTAGAGTTGGGAGGCTGTGCAATGGTTATTCTTTTTCTGTTCCACAAGTTATCTGTATGGTGTGGGAAAAAGTCTACCTTGTTTCTGGAAAAATTTCTCAGCAACGATCTAATATTTTATGCATAGATCTCAACCAGTTTAATGTATTGTGGAAGTGATGTTATTTTACTAATTATTTATTTAACAGATGTCTTGTTTTTACCAATATCTGGTCTAATGGGTATAAACATGAAAACTAGAATGGATAAAAGCATTTGTCCATGGTGGAATGGGCCTTGCTTATTTGAGGCTCTTGATTCTATTGTAGTTCCCTTGCGAGATCCCAAAGGTCCTTTCAGGTATTGCACTTTGGAGTTCGGACCATCTTGCTACCCCCCCACTTTTGTTCATTGTTTTTGAAGTTCAATATTTTTGCTAAGATTGAGCTTTTGACTTCTGCAGGATGCCAATTCTTGACAAATTCAAAGACATGGGAACTGTTGTTATGGGCAAAGTTGAATCTGGTTCTGTTCGTGAGGGAGATTCCATGTTGGTCATGCCAAATAAGGTAGTTTATTTATTTAAATTTTGGGTTGTTGTGAGCTTATTCTTTTCTTTCTTTCACTATCCGCTTGAAAATGAAATGGGTGACAAGTGCTCATGAACATGCAGGATCACGTAAAAGTTGTTGCCATATTCATTGATGAAGAACGCGTTAAACATGTTGGACCTGGTGAAAATTTACGGATTAGATTATCTGGTGTTGAAGAAGAAGACATATTATCTGGGTTTGTCCTGTCTAGTGTTGGTAGGTTTTTTGTTCCATCCATTTATTTAAAATTTATCTGGACATTAAAGATGTGTTGTGGTAATATATTTTGGAAGATGTTTTTTTAATTATTTATTTTTATAAAGAGAAATTCTGTTAGAAAGGGCTAGAAAACATAATTACCCAAACAATTCAGGTGCAATGTGTAAAAGCTGGTTATAATCTTATTTGTGATTCTGATATGATAAGTTTAGCCTTATAGTATGCCATGAGATGTTGCATACCAATGCACTATTTACCTTGTGGCTTTAATTCCAAGGCAAATAAACTAATTGTGTTGTTTTTAGTTGGATACCTATGCATCAATTATGGCAAGTATTCAAAATTGGTTGATTAATAGTCAATTAAAAATAATTGTATTGATTCAAGAATGGTGTCAGACAGGACCTTGTCCTACAACAAATGTGCTTTTTCGAATAAATTAAATTTAGATCCTTTACATTTATATTGTGTGGTTTACTCGTGGTTACAAATTTGCTGTTTGGTTTTTTTTTATGTGGTCAGTTGGTTTTCCCTTTTGCAGCTAATCCAGTACCAGCAGTTACTGAGTTTGTTGCTCAGTTGGCGATCCTTGAATTGCTAGACAATGTATGCATTCTTTTCTTATCATTCTTGGCATTAGGGTGTTAGGTGTAGTTTCTATATATTAATATATTAATTAATGACATTAACATCTGTATATAAAACGTGTAGGCTATTTTTACTGCTGGCTACAAGGCTGTTCTGCACATCCACTCTGTTGTTGAGGAATGTGAGATTGTTGAACTCCTACAGCAAATGGATCCAAAGACAAAGAAGCCTATGAAAAAGAAAATTCTCTTTGTGAAGAATGGTGCTGTTGTAGTGTGCCGTGTTCAGGTGCATTTATTTTTGCATTGTGAATCTAGAAGCTTTTTTATTTTTTTATTTTTAACTTTTATATCTTTTATATTGTACTGCTGTGCATTATTAATAAAAACGCATTGGTTGGAGATGTCATCATGTGACCTGGAAATGTACTTGCAGGTTCAAAACTCTATTTGCATTGAGAAGTTTTCTGATTTTCCACAACTTGGGCGGTTCACTCTTCGCACTGAAGGTAATAGTTAGAAAAAAAATCTGTATCGTGAATGTGTTCCTGATATATGTTTAAGCTGTGTATGATTTACTCTATCTTACAGGAAAAACTGTTGCCGTGGGAAAAGTCACTGGTCTGTGAGTTTGTAACAATTTTGACTTGAGGTAAAGAGAATTTCATATGCACTGTTGCTTCTTGTTAAGCTGCTCTTGCTTTTCATAGCCACCTTTGTAATACTTTTAAGCTTTTCATTCTTGCTGTCTCTCAGCATATATGACTTGATTATCCTGATATTCCCATTCATTTTCTTAACTTGGTAGTTATCTAGAGGACCTTCTCTAGTATTTTCTTGTATCTAAATAAAATTGAAGTGGAATTTGATTTGGAAACTGATTTACAAAGGGTTGAAGTTGAACCGAAAATATCAAATATCTGGCGTTATGTTTCAATCATTATGCCTATCGTTTTTCTGCGGTACTGTATTTATTGGAAAATCAATTGTTTTTTTAGAGAATATAACAAATCAACTTGGTGGCCACTGGGTCACTTGGGTGCTAAAAGTCACTTTAGTTTAGGTTCTAGCCCTTGTTTGAAGTTAACGGCGATATTTGTATTCTAACTGTTCTTTTTGTGAACAGGACGGGAATACCTGCATAAATTGATGGAGTGGCAGCTGAGGCTTAATTGATAGCATCAAAGTTTACCATATATTCATTTCGGTATTTGTTTTGCTTTTACTTGGGGTAGTATTCAGTGAGGAGTTATTTGTTGCCGCTGGTGCCCATGTACTTGTATACGGCCTTACAAGGCCAGTGTTTTGCGGTTGGCTGCTTCCAACCGTGCTACTCTAGAGATATAATTTGGAATGGATGGTTTTAAATCAATCTGCCATATTAGCTGTGGAATCTGATGATTATTTTAGCCCACCAGCAGTTAAACAAATTTCCTAGTCGCAGTTAGCATATTTCATCTGATAGTGATATATGCTTTTTTTTAACGAGTCATGTTGCTTAGTAAACGTGATGGAATTTTGTGGATCTGGAAATTTGCCCGTTGGGTTCACCGTCCTATGACTATATATCGATTTATTTGTCAAGAAATACAACTTAATGCGTTGATGTTGAGGATGTACTTTTGTTCTGTAAATCGAGTCTTGTAGGATGGAGCTGCTTCACCTGAAATACATATGTTATCGGATCTTTTGATAAATATACAGACACCAGCCATGGTAGTCGCCACGAACTTAAATTGGATTGAGCTATGGTGTGAAAAATGTATTGGACAAATTTCATGTTTAAAATAAATGGAAAATAGAATTACATTGGTTTTTTTATACATTTTTTTTAAATTTATAACAATTACGTTTTACGTTGCATGAAATATAATTGTTTTCAATATTCTGGTACTCTTTTTTTTTTGTCCTTTTCAGAATGAGAGTCAAAAGGATAAGCGGTATTTTTATTTACACGTGAAAAATATAGGGAATTAAGTGTTCGGGTTCGAGTGGTATTAGAAGTTCGAGTAGCCATGATAAAAACTAATTTAGTTTAGGCGTAAAAGTTCAATGTCAGTTCTATTTTTGTTCAGTGTTTGGTGGAATATGGAGACGATATCCTTGATTGATGTGATGATACTATTTGTGATTCATATCTTTTAATTGCTGAATAGCTCTTCTCACTTCCCATTGGACTTTCTGTCACTCGAGTGTAAAACATATAATAAGTATTTAACATATTTAAAGAAAAGTGAGATTAAGAAAAATCAAGATAATAATAACTGGGAGCCAAAAAAAATTGTAGTCAAGAGAAACATTAAATTGTACATTCGTACAATATTGTCATTATATTCACCAGAAAGAAACCAAAATCAAGATGCCAAGTAATGTTCATGTCAAGTGCATGTGTTATGCATATGCAAAAAACCTACTACTCCACGGAGCATTTTAATTCAATGGAGGAACGAACGTGAGTACAAATTCCGTTAAAAGATGGTTAGAACAATTTGGTAAATTAACGTTTTGTCCCCCTATTTTTTAAATATTTAATTTTGTTTTTTAATTTTAAAAAATTCAATTTTTTCTCTTCAATTTCATCAATCTTATTAATGTTTTTGGTAGAAGTCGATCTTATTAATGTTAATTTAAATAGAAAGAGAATATTAATTATTTTTTAAAAATTAGAAAATTAAATTGAACATTTTAAAATTAGGGATCAAATTAAACATTTTAAAAATAGAGATCAAATTGAATAATAATTTATTTAATAAATTTATTGTTTTCATTTATTTAGATAAATTTAATTTTTTATTTAATATTTTTGTTATTAGATAAATTTTTTATGTATTTTTTTTAAGTACTTAATTTGTTATCTGTCATAATTTTGTTAATACTGTTAAGTTTATTTTTATGAATTCTTTTCAATTTGAATAATTGTTTTGAAAATCAAATTAAACCATTTAGCTTAATTAGTTTGATCGAGAACAAATATAACAATTGGTCAATTAATTTTGAAAAACTTAGCTCATATTTAAGCTAGTGAGAATTGATCAAATCAATTCAAATCTGATAAAAAAAAATTGCAAATTTGTCAAAGAATTCATTTTTTATTTTATTAAAAATAATCTAAGATAAATAAAAACACTTAAGTGTTATACATTATTATTCAATTTGACCTTTTCATATTTAAAATATTTAATTTGATTCTTTAATTTTAATAAAAAATTTAATATTATTATTATTATTTTTAGTTCGATTTCATCAAAATTGCTTGTATTAGTTTGGATGTAAAGATAACAATTGATTTTTCTTTAAAGAAAAATTAAAGTACAAAATTAATTATTTAAGATACAGAAAAACTAAGTTGAATAATGTGAATAAAAAAGATGGATTTTTTGGAACCGAACATTTTAATAGTTTTAGAGGATCAAATAAAGTATTCCAACTTGAACAGGGCAAAGATTGAAATACACACCGCAATCTTGTTCAATAATCATGATGGATGTGAACAAAGTTGAGACAATACAATTATATCCCTCTTCACCGTATGAGGATTGAGGACCCAACCTTACCCATTCTGATATTAGTAAATCTTATTTTTCATATATTATGCTTGTTAGAAAAAAAAAGGGTGTTGTAGGTAAAGTGAAGTGACTTGATCTAATCAGCGTGGTTGGTAGGATTAATTATTTAATTACAAGGAAAATAGAAATTTCAGGATCACATACATAAAGAAAAGAACACGAGAATGAAATACATATGGCCACGAAAATATGCTCCGAAGTTATATAAAAAAAAATAAAAATGGGACAGAAGTGTAAGATATTATTATAGCTTCATTTGCAAATGGCAATGAGCTCAATTCATATGTTGCACGTTTCTTCCTTCCATTTGTGTTTCCCAAATTCATCAAACTTTGAAGTATCGAAGTTCTCACCACAATTTAAGCCTCTGAATGCCATTCCTCTCAGAGGAGCAAAACACTGCATTGTTAAATTTCCTAGAGAAAGAACGAGAACCAGAGCAACCCTTGATGATGTTGAAACAGACCAACTTTCCTCAACCCCACTTGTTGAGAACGAGAAACCCGATAAGGTATGCTTGTCCTTTGTGGGGTTCCAATGTTTCAAGCTTTGTTTGTTTGGTTTCCTAGATGATGTTGAACAGATTTTGATGCTAAATTGTGAATCTTTAGAGCATCCTTTCTAGTTTTATGTTTTGTACCTGAGAATGAAAACACCTTTCAGTCTTTCTTTTTCATTTTGAAAACTTTGTTCTTTTTGCATGGGGGGTTTGATTTTTTTTTTTTTTTTTGTTAAGGTGAAGCTATTCATTTAGTTACTATAGTTGTTTTAATTTTAAATTTTAATCTCTATACTAAAAAAAGTGAAAATTCTAGTCTCTATACAGGTTTTTGTGGTGGTTTATCACTGTTAGGAAGTTTCTGACTTTTGTAGCGGTTTTATACTCCCACGAGGGGGACCAAATTTTTTATGCATGTTTAGGGACTAAAGCTCAGTTTTTTGAGTAATCACCAAAGTTGGTCCCTGAAAGATGGTAGAGTAGAGGTGGCCGATAGGTTTTGAAAGATTTTTTTTGGCATCTAAGTTTATAAATTTTATTGGTTATGGAAGTTAGTCATTCCGTTATACTTAATTATTATTAGTTTCTTGATTAGTTAGCAGCTAACTATTCTCTGTCTCCTAATCATCTAATATGACCATAATGCAAGATTTTTGATACTTTCTAGTTATCAATAAACACTTTATCATGTTTAAATATTCTAGTCATGGATGCTCTAGTTAAAATGAAAGGTTATTATTGGATTTTATAGGTTTTTTATAGTTGGATTTTTCTATCTCAATCATCCTTAATTTATTTGTTTGTTCTAGCTACAAGTTTAGGGTTGTAAACCCTAAATTCAATAATTTAGGGTTTAGTAAAACGAGTGGTCATTTGGAAAGATATCAAGCAAGGATACATCATTTGAATATGGTTGTTTCTGCTATGCGTAATGAATCGCAAAACTCTTTTGGTAGAAGCGGGGAAGAGCTTGGTGGTAATGGTCTTCTCTGTTAATTAAGAGAGAGAATACGTGCCAACGTGATAATTAACTGTTAAATGCTCATGAGACTAACATAGTTAGTAACTGAGTATAACGGATAAACTAACTTACATAACGGAGTTAAACTTTAGGTACCTAAATGCCACAAAAACTCTTTCAGTACCAATCGATCACTTCTAGCATTTTTCAGGAGTCAAATTGGGTGTTTACTCTCAGTTTTTTCCTATAAAGACCTAGGACTTGTTTGGATAAACTTAACCACTTATAGGAGAAAAAATTAAGAAGGAAAAAGAAAATTAACTTTTTCATAAGCAAAAATTTGCTTATGCATAAGTTAAAGAAAATGTTTTTGAAAAAGTTAATATGAGACAACTTCTATGAAATGAAAAAGCTAATTTCATTTTTCCTTATAATTTTTTTCTCTTACTAGTGTTTCTGAAAAATTTTTATCCTAACAAACCTTAATAATTATAGTGAGGACAACAATAGGACCAAATGAATAGTTTTATTTTTTTCAAATTATTATTTGGGTTCTATCTTGGTTTTAATTTAATTTCAATATTTGCTTAGGAAGTAGAGGAAAGTGTGAAAGTGTTAAAAAATGCAGCTAAGACAAGGAAGGTAGCAGCAGAGGAGGTTCTTTCTGCACTGTCTATCATTGAGAAGGCAAAACTAGATCCTTCTGGCTTTCTTGAAACCCTTGGGGGAAAGGAATCCCCTGGGAGGACCTGGATGCTAATTTTTACTGCCGAGGTGAACATCTTTTTTGGTAGCTCTTCTTTTGGCTACAATTCTGTTTCTTGTTTTGGATGTTTATGGTTGTTGGTTACCTTCACTTATCAATTTCTGCTTTTGGGCTGAATTTCAGAAACAATTGAAAGGTGGTCGATATTTTCCTCTCACAGCTATTCAGAGGTTTGATGCTGCTGTAAGTCTCCTTCCCATGATCCTATCTATATTTTGTTCTTATTGCATATTTGTCCAGTGTTTGTAGTTAGAATATTAAGTTATCTACTTGTGTTACAAGGAATGCTAACAACACACTTTAATACACATTCTCTATTATTAGTTAAAACTTATTAAAAACCACAAAATCATAAGGGAGGTTAAATTAAATAAGTTGTGAGATCCACATAAATTTGTTATTTCTAATAATTTTCTGCTACTAGTAAAGAGTGCATTGTTAACATTTCTCGTGTGTTATTCAGTTTTGAATTGAAGTTGTTTCTAGCTAGAAAAGCAATGGAGATCATGGCACAAGAAACATTTGACGGGTGTTAAGAAAATGTGCTAAAGAATCAATGTTTTTTTATGGTCTTGTTCCCATTTCCCAACACTTTCTATAACTTAATCCTAAGTCAAGTGATTTGGCTTTTCTTATGCAGTTGGTGGACAAGCAGCTTCTTTAGCCATGATTTTATTGTTCTTTCGTACATTAACTTATTCCCTGACCAACATTCAGTGTTCATTGCTGATTATTTAAATTTTATTGTTGATTATTTAAATAATTAGTTTGTATCTGATGTCAAGTATGTTTCTATTTTCTTTCTCCGTTTTTAACTGCATACATGATGTCAATCACTGTGCCATTTGCTTTCCTAGCTCTTAAAACTCACAAAACGAGTCACCTGGGGTAAAGACATTGACATTCCTCTAATTGCATTATTTGTAGAGGAACCAAATCCCATTCTCTATTCAGTTTTGGATTTAATTCAGTTTTTTTTTCCTTAAATCCTAATTTATTAAGGAGAAGAGAGAGAAATGTAAATTTGCATTGCACTAGTTAAAATACTAGTTATACTTGTAAAAGAAAAAAATAGGGTGTTATGAGCAATTTTAGGTTATTTCAACTTAATAGCTAATAACATTGTATGCATTACTTTTATCATCTTAATCTATAGCAAAAAATAGTTTCTAAATTAGTTGAAAGTTGAAAAGCTAATTTTTAGTAAAAAGCTATTAGCTAAAAGTTGAAAGTCGTTAAACTAGCTTATTGAATTAAAAGTGTTTGGTAAAATCAACTATTGAACTAGCTCATAAATATAAAATGAATTAAAAGTACATGCTTATATATATATATATATATATATATTTTGTACACAAAAATATAATTTTAATTTTTGAACTCTTATTATTATTTGTTTAAGGATCAAATATTTAATTTTAAACAAATAGTGTAAAGATAATTAATTTAATATTAAATAAAAAATATTACAATAAGTAATTCAATATTAAGCAATAAAATTATATGCTCAATCTACTTCAAGTACTGTCTGAAAAAAATGCTAGAAAATAGTGAGATGAGCTTGGTTATCAAACATCTTTGTTTTGGTGAAACAAATTTATAAGTTAGTCACAAACAGTCTTAGGTAAAAAACTGAAGATCAATTGTTGCTATTTTCTTCTTGAAAAATTATAAGCATCTACCCCCTTTTGGGGTGAAAAATGAAAGAGATAGACAAAAGAAAGATAAGATAGAGAGAAACGTAATAGATGTGAATCATGTGATATATGATATGCTAAGAATTATAGAGAGATATAGGAAGAAATATGGGATGGAAGTGAGTGAGATGTTTGTTAACGAGGACTCTTTTTTTCTTAGCAACTTAAATGAAGTCAGGGAAATCAGACCTCAGCAAATCAATATCTTTTTTTTCTTATCTATGAGGATCCTTTGCTTTTCCACTTCATTCAGGAAAGACTATTGTGCATGTAAGAGTTGATAAGGCCTCTCTAATTTCTTTTTTTGATTACCTGCTTACCTCTTATGCAGGCTAAGTTATATTCCTGTTTCTTGTTTCATTATTTTGTTAAATGTTCCATATACCAAATCAATATCTTTTAAAGAAAACCTTGTTGCTTCTGTCTAAGTTGGAATATTAAGTGATGCTGATGAATTATTAGGCAAAGAGGATCGAAAATGGAGTATATCTTGGACCCATTGGACAGTTAACATTTGAAGGCAGACTTTCATGGAAAAAGAGAATACTGGCTTTTGTTTTTGAGAACCTTCGAATAAAAGTTGGACCTTTGAATCCTCTACAAATCAGTCTAGGAAAAAAGGAAGACAAGGAACCGAGTACCAAGGATCCATTTTTCATCTGGTTTTATGTTGATGAGGAAATAGCTGTTGCTCGAGGACGGAGTGGAGGAACTGCATTTTGGTGTCGATGTCGTCGTGTCAGTAACTGATTCTTTCTAACTTTCTTCCGTTTCTACTTCTAACTTTGAATGGAAAGAGTCATGTATATATGTAAGCACTGAAGTTTAGTTGGACGTAAACATGTTTGTACTTGTATTCTGTATAGTTATTTGCATAAATTCCAGGAAACTAAAATATAATTCGGATCGAAGTTTGTGATGTGTTTCACGATATTACTACCGTTTGGTCATTTGTTAGGAGATAATTATTCAACAACTAAGGAAAGAAAATAAAGTTTGAGAAGTAAGGAGAATAGGAGGAAAAGAAAGTTTCAGCACCAGGTCTGGTTACATAGTTTACTCAATTTGTTATGCTTCAGAATGTGTTTCATTCAAAGAAATTTTACGCAATTTCTGTTGAAAATTATATTTACTAGTTACTACCTATTCTCCTGTGATGATGTTAATTTGGTAGTTAATGGTATTCTCTTAGGCTTAGAAATCACGTGTTAATTAATCGGCTTAAGACAGATTTTCCATCTTCGTAAATGACTCTGTAGATTGCTAAAACTCTGTTGTTATTATTATTTGCAACTTCCCTTATTCCTAAAATAATTGAAGATATTCTTTCTGATGCATAGAATCTTCATGTACATTCAATCAAGTGCAGAGCATACTTGTATTTCTGTAATATTTTTCATCAAATACATCTAAACTAATAATAACATGTATGACAAAGTTTAATTTCGGCGAACTAATAGCTAAATTTTGAAACCTTTCTCATTAAGTCAAGGAAAAAGTAATTATCTTTTTAAAATAAACACGCATTGAGGCTTTTGGAAAGAGAGGAGGTTTAAAAGGAATGGAGGTATTAAGTGAAGTTGCCCAAGCTCCACCCAAAGAATGAGGCAAATCACGTGGTAAGAGATAATTGGTTCATAAGTCTCCCTTATAGGGGATGAAAGGATGAGTTTCTTTTTCATGAAAGAATGCAATTATTCGCGAGGAAGTAAATATTACTGTCCATTGTTCAAACAGTTTTTTTAATGGGAGCAGTGGTCTTTAAAAATTACACTTCATTATATACAAAAATAAAATAAATTACTATACACATGCTTACGGTGCTTCGTCAAACAGAGAGAAATTCCAACAAATATCCATTATTGAATAAATTTTATGTGAGCCCTATTAATTAATAATGTGACGAAAAGTTAAATTCATACAATAATTTTTTTTCTTATTAAGAAAATGTATTAAAATAAAACAATGTATTGATAACATTTCTCATCAAGCCAAATCAACAAATATGCACAGTCAAGCCGGAAAGAAAAACAAAAAACAAAATGAAAATGGGGTTAATGGGACCTTGTAGAGCTAAGTTACCCCTTTAACCCTTTATCTTCAAATACCATATATGACTGAGAAATTTTATTGGCTTTTACAAAAACAACTAATCACGACACGACATTTACACAGTTCATGTTTGGGTAGCTTCAGTGGCTTAGTTGGGTAGACAAGAACCTTTCACTTGTACATGCATTTGAATTTTTTATGAGACATGAATGGAGGAGTGTGCTAATTACTTTACAAGATTAATATTTGGATTTCTCATGGTTTTGAGCCACATGTCAGCAACTATTCGTGAGGAAATGCTCCACAACAAGTCTTGTCCCTTTGCCAATGCTTGCTTCCCTTTCTTCCCTGCCTTTCCCAACCCATATGCCACCAACCATTGCATTGCAGTGAGTCTCTGCTTCTCACTGTCCCATGCACTCTTCTTTGTTCCACTTCTCACCTTGAAACCCCCCACATGCATGCTTGCCACCTTGAACCTTTTCTCCCTCTCATTCCCCTTTGTGTCACCACTTGTTGCATGAATCAGCACCATCACAGGGCCTCCAACTGCTTCATATCGTCTCATTGGATCCCTCAATTGGACAACCAATATGAGTGTCACTTTTTCTTGTTCACTTTTGTTGTAGCTTTGGTCTCCGATGATCCATTCCTCAAGTGGAATAGCTGAAGCCAAAAGATCCTTCCCTCCCTCCCCTTTCTTTGAGCTGAGTGAAGAAACATCAAATGGAGCCTCTTCCTCAGCCATGTCAGCTTGAATTTTCAATCCTTCAACTGTCATGGACTCAACCTTCTGCATGGCAAATGCCAGAAGCTTCTCTGCAGTGAGTGGCTCCTCGTCCACGTTCCAAAGTCCTGTTGTTATTCTCTCTCTTCTTCCTGAACTCATGGCACTTCCCATGCTTTTCAAGGAAGAAACTATTCTAGCAGCACTGGAACTGGCTCCTTCCTTGTTCCTACCTTGTATGATGGCAGAAGCAATGCCTTCAAAAGCAACCTGTTCTGCAGTTTTGCCTATCATTTCATCTATGGGCATTAAGGCCAAAACCTTTGAGCTGAGTTCATCAAAACCAATGCCAGCCAATTTCTGAAACAACTCAAAACCTGTTACGGATTCATGTGATGCCAACACAAAAGGCCTTGACATCTGCATAGCTAGCTTTGGAGAGTCTTTTCTGGACACAGCAATGTCCAAAGGGTTCATGGAAGCCAAGTATCCTCCATCTCTTGTTTGAACCACACATCCCAACCCCTTTCCAAGATCAGGAAGATACACTTTGGATTCTCCATCCTCAGCAGAAGCTTCATCGTGTCCTTCAAGTTGTAAAGGTGGAATTTCAGGTTGATTGAAGAAGTAGTCGCTGTTTTCTTGATCCTCAAGCATCTGAAGAAACTCCCTAGTCACAGTTTCTTCATCTGCATCTAGCCTCTGTTGTTCTGTCTCTTCCTCAATCTTCATAAACTTGTCATCTTCTCCCATCATAGACTCCAGTGCTATTATCTGCTGTGCAATTGAATCAAGCTCAGACAATCTAGTAAGGTGCACATGATCAAGCACTACTTCCTTGACAACCTCACTTGAGGCTGATTCCTCTTGTACAGGTTCCTCAGCTTCAACTCCTCCATCTTTTTCCTTCTCTTGAACCTCAACCCCTTTATCCACAACCTCGAAATCCGGCATATCAAAATCCTCCACCTGTTCCTTACTACGTTCATCAACTTTCTGCGTGGAGGAAGAGGAATCCTGAACCGGGTTTGGATCATCAAGGTTTAAATCATCCATTCCTTGAATATCCTCTTCTATTCCTGACTGCGAAGGAGTCCATGCATCGTTTCTACTTGTCATTCTAGGACTAGACATGCTGAATGACGTCTTGGATTGTTTACGAGCAAAAGAAGAGAAAGCACCAAGCTTGCCAGAGCTGGATTTTGAATTCTTCACTTGATTGTTATATATGTCAACTCCTCCATCTCTCTCCATGATCTGGAAGCCCAGTTTGAGAACAAGTTCTCCTCCTTTGGCCTTCCCAGATAGGTCAAAGCTTGTGTCCCATTGCTTCACCCTCGTGCCTTGTTGATTTTTATCAATGGATTCTTTTATCAACTCAGTCAAGTCCACAGAGATTCTTCCAAAATCAAGTTCCTTGGCATCAACAGCAAAAAGGTATATCCAAAAGGGGCGTGGCTCAAACTTGATCTGCTTTGTAATGCCCTGGTGTTGAAATACAAACAAAATCTCATATTGTTATAACAAGATGATGAACATGAGTATTTAAGCACACACACAATCTCTATTGGTATGAGGCCTTTAGGTAATCTGAGAGTTTAAACTCAGTGGACAACATAGTACCGATGCAGAGATGTGTGTGAATACCCGATAGACAATATGCTCTTCTTAAAAAAATATATCTCCTCAAAACAAATACAAAACAACCCATCACCTGATTGGTGGTGTGATAAACATGGCACCTGATGAAAAGGGTCTCTTCAAAATCTGCTGCTCCTTGTGCAACCCTTGATGGCATTGTCTTAACAGCACCATCCTTTGTTTCCTTCTTTCTAACACAAACGGATAGCCTAAGTCCATTCATGGAAGAAGGAAGGCCTTGAGCTGTGACCACTTCAACAGAAAACAAACAGCTTAGCTTCTGCATTCCAATGTGAGACAAAGCCCTGATAGGCTTCCACTTCCAAATCCCTTTCTTGTCACTGCCACCTGAAGCTGTTGAAGTGTCATCAAGCTTTTTTGTTTCAGCCTTGGCAGTGGCATCATCAGGTTTTGGCCTTGATCTCCATGGGGACATGGACATGCGGCGCCGAAGTTTGTTGCTGCTGCTTCCATCACTGTCTTTGGCATCTTCAACTGATGGGGCTGAAGTTCGTGGCAACACAAGGGAAGCTGTTCTTCTGGCTGTGGTGGAGGTGTGTGCTTTGTAAAGGGATTCACTCAAAGCCTCTAGTTCTTCAAGGAGTTGTGCATTGGGGTTGCCCTTGGTAGCTGCCATTACTAGTGAGTGAGAGAAGGTGTTGCTGCTGCAACGAATGATGATGTTTAAGATGATAAGATGCCTACATGGTTGAAAGTTGGAAGGACCATGCAGGATGATGATGATGGCTAGTTCTTTCTAAACCAAGGAAATAGGATTGATTGGTTTTGTGGAAGATAGAGGATGAACGGTGGCGTTGCATTGTGGCTTCGTCAGTGAGACAATTTTGAAAATGGATATCTAATAGACAAAATGGTCCCAACGAATTTAATGTTGCTTTGTCCTCATTGTTTGCAAGTGGTTAGTGTTAGGCTTGGTGTGGTGAGAAAGTGAAACTTTCCCACCCTCAATTTCTTTCGTAAGGAAGAAGAAAAAGCCTTATCAATTAAACAAAAAAATTGTTGCATGCAGTTAAGTAACATGGCAGCAGAAAACGTTCTTTTAGTTTCAGCTGTGTGGAAAAAAACAGTATTTGTTATTTCTGAGATTGGCATTTTATTTTTGTTTTTGACCATGGTTCTTTTCTTATGCTTGATTGCTTATTGTACTTTAGTGCTGAATCCTATAACCAATTAAAATGTTGGATTCTCTTGTCTCTTTCCGCTGTCGAAGAGTGCTTCCTAACTGTATTTCATTCCCTATTCACAAAATCTTTAATTCAATGAAAAAAGATTAAGAAATCCCTTCATATGCTTGGAGAAACTCTATAAATTATCTACTTTATTTTTGAACGAAAGGTTGCTAAAAACAAAATGATGATTGTAAAGAAAAAGTGGAATAGATAACTATTTACTTTATTATACTAGATTTAATACGTAAACCCCTAAACCTAGAATCGTAAACTTTGCATTGGATCTTATGATGAAGCGAAACTGCAACAGTTTAGGGTCAAGATCATGCATTTACTCTTGCTTTCTAGGTACTTCAATTTAATGATTCATTTGCCATAATGTTGTGAGGAAATAATCACTAGCTCCAGAGCTTCTCTTTGAAATAGATTAATCAGAAAAAGAAAAAAAAAAAAAAGCATTGTGAATTTGATACTACATCACCAAGCTCTCTCAAAAACTACTCGTAGCTTAGAGATTTGTTAACAGAAACAAAAGAGCTTAAAGAGATGGATGATAGATATATATATATATATATTTTTTTTTTTATTTCCAAATTAATAAATCATTATTTTAATGTCAAGTAATTTACACTATATACTTTTCCTTTAATCATTTTCATATACATATTTCTTTTCCATTTTCATATACGAATATTCTTATTTCTTAGACGCAAAAAGAAATATATTACAATAATATTGTCAAATTTTAGAAAACAACAAAAAAATCCCACTTTAAGGGTAATTTTTCTGTTTATTTTAATTATTAACTTTAACACGTTAATAAAAGTTATTAAAAATAAAAATACTTATTAAAAGATATTAATTTCCTAAATAGATTTCGGTGTGTAAGTCCTTAGTTTTCTGTTAAAGGAATCTAATTTTAATTTTTTATTTATTAAAATTTTCGTTTGTATTTATAAAATTTCTCTTAAGTCTATATATAGACATGGACCACACTTGTCTCCAGAGTTTTCACAATCATGGGTAAGCAACAAAACAATATAATTAGCTCAAATTAATTAAACAACATAATCATGATTTAATAATACTAAAGTTCATTCTATATTTTAACCTTTATTTATTTATTATGACGCTCTCACGCTCCCTTATTCGCTTTTACTTTCAGGTTTGAGCCACAGCTGCTACTTTCACTTCTTCTTCAACCTTCATGTTTCAACAACGCCTTTATAGTTAAATCTACATTTTACCCATTTTCTGATAAAACCCTAATTTGATCCAAATGACCCACTTGTAAATTTTCAATTTTTTTTTCAACTGTAATCACTTCAACCCCCTATATCTGGAACAAAAATGGCAGACACGGATCCGTCCAAAAAAGTGGCCGATAGATATCTGAAGCGTGAAGTCCTTGGTGAAGGTACCTATGGAGTTGTGTACAAAGCCATTGATACCCACGTAATCTCCCGAATTTTTCTTTTTCTGTTCTCTTATTTCACCCTTTGTCTGTGAATAAAATTATGCGAATTCGTGACTGTAAAAACGGTTTGTCCATCTTCTCTTTCATGGGTTGTGAGAATTGGGTCTTTAATTCCAGTTGGTGCTAATAAAACGCTGAATCAGAGTAAAATGCATATTCGTGTATGTTTTTAAAGTAATGTAGAAAGGGAAGACGCATTTATTTGCTTTGGGTTTCTGAATTTGATTCAGGGGTTTTGTTTCAACAATTTGCTTTGGGGGTATATTACTTTATCGTGATTGCTTCAATCAATTATTTAGGAACAGTCATATACTGTGTCATTGGGTATGAGGAAGTGGTACTTCTTACCTTTTATTTAGTGTAAGAATGTAAGGGGAGGAAAGCTTGAAGCTGCTTAATTAGTTTGAGTATAGATATGCTTACTTACGTGTCTTGATGAACTAGCCTTTTGTTTGATAATGAAGATGACAGTACTACTATAATGTTTTATTCTTATAAAGATGAGTTCATTGCATTGACAGACAGGACAGACAGTTGCAATTAAGAAAATTCGGCTTGGCAAGCAAAAAGAAGGGGTAAATTTTACGGCCCTCAGAGAAATTAAGCTTCTTAAGGAACTCAAAGATCCAAATGTTATTGAATTGATTGATGCATTCCCACATAAAGGGAATTTGCATCTGGTGTTTCCATTCATGGAGACGGATCTTGAAGCAGTCATACGAGATCGAAATATTTTTCTTTCACCAGCTGATACGAAATCCTACCTTCAAATGACACTAAAAGGTCTTGCTTTTTGCCACAAGAAATGGGTTTTGCATAGGTAGGGTATGGTGCAGATTTGATTGATACAAAATGGATACTTGATTCAAGTGCTTAGCTCAAAAGTCTGCTTTCATATTTTCAGGGATATGAAGCCAAATAATTTATTGATAGGATCTAATGGACAGCTGAAACTTGCAGATTTTGGTTTAGCACGGATGTTTGGAAGTCCAGATAGAAGGTTCACTCATCAGGTTTACTTCTTTATGTATAATGGCCAAGTGGATTCCAGATACAAACTTGTTTCTTTTGAACCTCAGATTTTCAAATAAACTGTTGATAATCCTACTTTGCACAAATCCTTTTGCATTAAGAAGCGAAATTTCCTAAAACAAGGATATTAGAGTTTGCAAAGTTGAAAAGGAATATGCCTTATAGTCAGGCATGAATTATATCATGATTTAATTTGAATTTGTATGAAATCCTAGGACCTTAATTCAACAGATTTTTCCTTAAATCTTTATTATTATTTCCTACTATGTATTGCCTGCAAAAAAGGCCGAGCCTTGACAAAATGGTAAGGTTCTTGCCTTGTGATTTGGTAGTCCCTGGTTCTAGTCATGGAGACAGCCTCTTTGCTCATAGGAGTAAGGTTTCATACATATATATAATCTAACTGTCTCCACATCCAATAGTAGGAACTAGGAACTCATACATTAGGATACCCTTTCTTATATTGCTTTCAAATTTAGGAACCAGAGGAAGATAACTGGAGACCCAAACACTGGAGCATTTAAGTCAAAGTATAATAAATTCTGGTGAACATTTTCTAGGATTGTAGTTCTCTATGGTAACTGAATATGTGGCGACATTAATGGCATACATCGTTTGGTGCCCTCTTCCTTTCTTCCTAGAAGAGCTACCCACGTGTTATTAAACATGTTTCATCTTATGTTATTATTGTATATTTTGCACTTTCTATTGGTGGATTGAGTTTGTAGTTTCTACACAGATAACACTTGAGCTGATTATACATGAATAGGTTTTTGCTCGGTGGTATAGAGCTCCTGAGCTATTATTTGGTGCCAAGCAATATGGTTCTGGGGTTGATGTTTGGGCTGCAGCATGTATATTTGCTGAACTTCTTCTTCGTCGACCTTTTTTGCAGGTAAAAAGGATTTACATGATTGATGTTCTGAAGTAGATGGGTTTCGAAATAAAATTTGGTCCACTTATTGGGACATGTTATCCATTTAACATTATCAACTAGTTCAAATTAAATTTTTGCAGTCTGAAAATCCTAAACCATTCAAAGCTGTTTTAACTGAGGTTGAATTAGGTCTGAAGCTTTAGGCATATAGGCTACGGTATTTGTATGCATTTTCGACTATTAATTGGGCTTCCATTTATTTCTGCACTATATTTTGTGACTAGCTTGTTTAATACAATTTTGAACATTTAAATGTAATTAGTCACATTGACTGTCAAAAAATAAAATGAAATTCATCACATTGGTTGATTTTCTTCATTTTTATTTTATATTTAAATAATTAAGCATGTTTCTTATTTTTTTCATCAGTTTGTTATTATCACATGGTAGGGTACAAGTGACATTGATCAATTAGGAAAGATTTTTTCTGCATTTGGCACTCCAACAGCTTCTCAGTGGCCTGATATGGTATACCTGCCTGATTATGTCGAATACCAATATGTTCCTGCCCCCCCTCTGCGATCTTTATTTCCGATGGCAAGTGATGATGCTTTAGATCTGTTGTCAAAGATGTTTACATATGATCCAAAGGCTAGAATTTCAGTGCAGCAGGCACTAGAGCATAGGTAGCTGCACTCAGCATCCCATTAAGACATCAATAAATTTCTTTTCTCCATAATTAATCTCTCCTCTTCCACTTTAGGTACTTTTCTTCTGCTCCTCTACCTTCGGATCCGGAGAAGCTCCCCAGACCTGCTCCTAAGAGGGAGTCTAAGGCTTCTGATTTCAATTTACAGGAGGGTCCTACTGTATTATCACCTCCAAGGAAGTCTAGGAGAGTAATGCCAGGACGTGATGGGTTTGAAGGAAATTCTCTGCAAGCAGATAAGGTTGATGACAGTTTTGGTGATTTCAGACAGACAACGGATGATAATACAGGCAAGAATGAATCAGCTCCAATGTCTGTAGATTTTTCTATCTTTGGATTAAAACCTCCAAATAGACCTACAATTAACAGGTACAATAATATTGATTGTCAAATCAATTCAAAGTGGCCCATAATAGTTTGTAATTTTAACCGAGTTGAGCATAAAATTATCCAGCTATGTTCATCGGTATTGGAAGAAAAATAAGTTGCATTATATAGGACCATATTAAACATATCTTGTTAGGGTATTATTCTAGTGAAGTTACTGATTAACAATGATAAAATTGTAATATGCTATAACTATAACACGATATGTTGTAATGTGCCAACACAATATGTTGTAATTCCCAATTATTGGAAGACTCTGCTAGATTTGTTATCTTTTAGTTTCTACATGTAAATGATGTTATTTAACTTTAGTTCCTTCTTTTTGTTCTGCAGTGCTGACAGATCATATTTAAAAAGAAAATTAGATCTAGAATTTCAACACCCAGAATGAATATTCTGTGGCGGATGCATTCACACAAGCTTATGGAGGGTAAAATACATTTGAAGACTTGTTAGTATGTCATTCTTTATCTCTGTTTCTATGTGTGAAGCTACAACAAATATGTAACTGAAGAAGTCACTGAAGATTAGTTGTAGTTCAGATGCCTAAAAGTCTGCTATAGAGAAAAGAAAAGAAAAGAAAAAGGAAAAATTATAATTACCACACACTCACACTGGTACCCCTTGTACATTTTTTGTTCTATACATTTTCAGAAAACTAGTATACTTGAGTTAATGGAAGATATTCAGTATGATGGCATTTTCACGAGAGTGGCTGTGTGTGGCACTTGAAAAAAAATAAATTTTGGGGGAACTTGATTTGAACACAAATTTGTTATTTAACATAAGATTTTTTCATATGCACGTGGAGCGTGTATTATATGTGCTTTATTGGGTGCTTCAGACAGGTGAATTCCAATTTTAATTGATTGAATGATTTTTTGTTTTGGTTTGGTTTGGTTTTTATATTTATTATAGCTGTCAATGGTGACACCTATAATATTTCTGATTCTTCTGCTTGGGTTTTAAATTTAGCTGAGGTTTTTAATGTCGAGCATGAAAGAAATTGGGTGAATCTTATGCAGGAGACTATTTCGCAGCAACACAACTCAATAGCACACACTTTCAAATAACATAATTATTAGTTGAAATTTATTGAAAATCATGGGAGACTCATTCTTTATTTCATTAGTCACTTTTATGATTTTGTTATTTTAAGAAAAAAAAAATCAATGATAGTGTGTAAAAAATATATTGTTAACAATTCTCTTTGTTGAAATGTCGAAAAGTAACAACTGTGTAAAGTAACACTAGCACTATCAATGCAGAAATGATTCCCAGCCAAAGTGCCTGTATGATGTACGACAACTGGTAACATAATTGAGGGAAACAAAAGAAAAAAAAAAGGAAAAAAAAGTCAGATTCGGCAAGAGTCATGAAGGATAGATAGCAAAGTTTTAACCTTGGCTTTCATGTGTACAAGAAATGCTAATACTGCAGCACAAGGAACACCCACAAGATAAAAGGAGCCAAGATTGACAAGGGCACCAATCTTCTGCCACCCACATCCCTCAATAATTCCTCATTGTTGTGGATACATAAATTGAAATCGTCAATAATTTTAAGGAACATAAAATGGAAGGGGTTGCCTCGTAGTGGCCATATTTTAAACAATATATAGAGAGATGATAACAATTAACAATACATTTTCTAATTTACTTTTTTCATCATTTTTTAATTTTCAGCATCAATTTAATTACAAAATTAGGTTATGTAATAAATATATTACCTTCTCTATCTCATAATTAGTGTCATTTTAGATTTTTTTTTAAAATAAACTAATACAAAATAATAGACAAAAATTAATATAAATTTAAAAAAATTAATTTTATTATTATTTCTTTTTGCTAAAAATAATGTAATACAATAACTTGCTTAGAAATAATATTAAGGGTGTAAATGGAAGAAAAATATTAATATTATATTATAAAACTAAAATAATAATTATTTTGTGACTTGTTTTTTCTTTTAATACGATACTTATTATAAATAGAAAGAGTATAATTTTCTTCCCTCCCCTTCATTATTTAAAAAAGTGGAAGGAAAGAGTAGAAAATACATGACACAACAAAATCCATATTCCTCTTAAAATGAGAAGAAAAATAAAAAAAAAATTCTCTTAGTAATTGAATGACTAAAATAATTTTGATTGTGTATTTTTTTTTTTGTTTGACATGGATGATTTTATCCTTTTATATAAATATTTAACTTTCTTTCCGGTTTTATTCATACCAAACATGAAATAACTTATAAAATCGTTTTGCTTTTCTTTTCTTTTCCTTTCTTTTCTTTCTCTTTCTTAAACCAAATATATCCCAAATGAGGGGTAATTTAGAAATTTCAATTTATTTTTAAAAAAGGAGAACTTAAATAGGAAAACTTTGTCTTTCATTTCTTTTGAAAGTAGGTGTTTATACTTTGTCTTTAATTAGATAAAATTGAATAAAAAAAATACACTATATTTTAAAAAATCCAATATTCCAATATGTTATTCTCTTTATTGTGACAAATATATTCTTTCGTTAAAAGAATATTGAACACATACTTCATAGATGACATTCTCACTTCATTTTATCAAAGAATATTCCAACGTAAAACCCATTATGGATGTCCAAAACATAATTTTTGGACTGTAGCAAAACTCTAAATGTAAAGAATATGCGCCTTAACATTTCAAAACTCAAAACATTACAATTATCTCTTTATGATTATTTGTTCACCCATCCTACGTAGTTATCAAAACCTCAATCTTGAATTCCACGTAATAATCAAAATCAGTCTAGAAACATAAATAATTAATACTTTGCTTCTCCCATAAACTTATTAGTATAAAAATTCCACAACGAAAGTTACGAACTCACAATACGGATACCCTTAAAAAACTGGAGAAGTATCTCCTGTGAATCTGATGACCAACAATAAGCGGGCACAAGAGAATTTCCCAGTTTTAAGGAAAAAGTAAAGGAAAGTTAATTAAGCGGTTAGTGTTATTCTTCCATAAATTTTACCTTGACAGTATGCTTAAAATGTATATTAATGACATCCGTGTTATATGTAAGTGTTTATTATTAGACACTCTAATTCTGATAAGTGAACAGTATTAATAGGACTTAAGGAATTATAACTAAGTTTTGTCAAAAATAAATATCTAAAAGCGTGACAACAAGACGAAAGTTTATCATTCCTATGTCATTTTCTTATAAATATCTCTTTTTGCACTATGTCCAATGTTTCTGGTTTCTTTGCCTCGTGTCTGTGTCTTTCAACCTAAACAATGGATAGAGAAGATCAGAAGGCGTCTCTACTGTCTCCATTGGTACATATCACAGTGGAAGATAGACTCAAAGTTGATAATAATATAGAGCGAAACAAGGATAAGGCAATAGAGAGAGCTGAAGTGTATGAAGAAGTGAGGAAGCAGTTATGGCTAGCAGGGCCTTTAATATCTGTTTCTATATTAAATTATTCCCTACAAATTATATCTGTGATGTTTGTGGGGCATCTCGGCGAATTGCCCCTCTCTGGTGCTTCAATGGCTACTTCTTTTGCTTCTGTCACTGGTTTTAGCTTATTGGTTAGTTGTGCCTTCCTTGGCTTTGTGTGTATATTGGTTACAGCATGTGTAGCTGAACATCATTTATTTACTTCTGTAAACATGAGTTCCTTGTGTTAAAAGTCTAATTGAGATGTTAATATGCTAGTGAGGTTAAACGAACCTTGTATAGCTATATTTTCCATGATGTAATATAAATATAGAGGCTCAATATAACTGTTTAAAGTTAAATTTGTTCATCATTACCAATTATTCTTTTCTTTAGTTGTTGGGAGTGAAAGCAAACAGTGTTATGATAAATATTAGTAACATGTTTTCCGACACATTTTATTATTGACTAAAATCACGAGTTTTGTAGATTTCATACCTTATTTAATGAATCTCACTTATGATTTTGTACTTATCTATAAAATTTAAGCAATGAGAGAGATTTGTGTTGAAAATAGTATATTAAAGAGTGTTTTACTAACTTCTCTTGAAGTGTCACTGGTTTACTTTACATTCAGAACCTAGTTAATAAGCAAACAAGTTGTGTTATAATCTAGGAATCAACAAAAATGAAAAGAAAAGAAAGAATACAAGTGATTTTGATTCCAAGCAATAAGCAGGTTTGTATGTAACCAACCAATATAGAATTGTACAGACTCCTAAAATTATTATTTATTAGCATTATGCCATTATGGCAAACAACTTCCAAATACTAACGAGGCAATATTTGTTTCTCTGATATATTGTTGTTTTTTTATTTTTTTATTTTGTTCATATAGGTGGGAATGGCTAGTGCTTTGGATACCTTGTGTGGACAATCATATGGAGCAAAGCAGCACCATATGTTAGGCATACACATGCAGAGGGCCATGCTTGTTCTTATGATTGTTAGCATACACCTTGCATTTATATGGGCAAACACAAGATCCATTCTAATTGCCCTCGGCCTAGATCCTGAAATATCTGAAGCAGCTGGACAATATGCTCAGCTAATGATTCCAAGTCTTTTTGCCTATGGAATTCTTCAGTGCCTCAACAGATTTTTGCAAACCCAAAATATTGTATTTCCAATGGTGTTCAGCTCTGGAGTCACTACTTTACTGCATATTCTTATATGTTGGACTATGGTATTCAAATCTGGACTTGGGAACAGAGGAGCTGCCATTGCAAATGCTATATCTTACTGGATAAATGTCTTGATCCTAACACTCTATGTCAAGTTTTCTCCCTCATGTTCAAAAACTTGGACTGGATTTTCAAAAGAGGCTTTGCATGGCATCCCTTCTTTTCTTAGAATTGCAATTCCTTCTGCTGTTATGGTTTGGTATATTCTCTTCATACATTTTTACCAGCAATTCTTACATGCCAAAGTTACATTTTATTTCTTTTCCCAATCCTATAAGTTTTATTTATATTACCCCTAACAGCTTGGAAATGTGGTCATTTGAAATGATGGTTCTCCTCTCTGGCCGTCTTCCAAATCCAAAATTGGAAACATCAGTTCTTTCTATCTGGTTAGTTAATTAGTATCACTGTGTCATATTGAACACTTATTTCAAATCTTCACAATATTTTTATATTATATGTTTTGAGCTGCTACACATGCTTGACAATTGATATTATTGTTGGCTTTTAACGATCCAACTTCTGATGATTCAGTCTGAATACTTCAACAACTGTTTGGATGATCCCCTTTGGACTCAGTGGAGCTGTAAGGTGAGTAGCTCTTGCAATTTTTCAAATACATGATCAATTTTCAACTAAAGTATATCAAAGTTGTCAATGTGTCCTGTATAGATGTAGTTGTTGTAGTAATTCATTGCATGATTCTTTGCAGCACTCGTGTATCAAATGAACTAGGAGCTGGTCATCCACAAGCTGCACGTTTAGCTGTGTATTTTGTCTTTATAATGGCCATTATTGAGGGAACTTTTATTGGAGCAGTGATAATACTAGTACGCAATATTTGGGGCTATGCATATAGTAATGAAGTAGAAGTTGTCCACTATGTAGCTATCATGTTGCCAATTCTTGCGACATCCATTTTCCTGGATGGACTCCAGTGTGTTCTTTCAGGTTTTTCTTGTTTATATTTCTTTTATTCATTGTCCTAATAGAGATAGGTCTGAATAGGGAATCTTCCAATACAAAATGGTACATATCAGCCTGAGGGAAAAGGTTAAGGTAGGACTGTATGAGCAATGGAAGAGGACATAGGAAGTGAAAAATACTGATTGAAATGAAAGGAACCTGCAGGCATTCTATGATAACAGTATTAATCAATAACAAAAATATCTATCCATAAGTTGTATAGTTGTTGATATCATTCAAATAATTGATACAATTAAGTGTTTCTTGTAGCCATTTTTTATTTGATACTGACATTGCCTAATTGCATATTACTATTACAATATTGTATGTAGCTAATCATGTTTTAATAATCTTTGTATTGACTCTTCATGAAGGCACAGCTAGAGGATGTGGTTGGCAAAAAATAGGTGCTTTCATTAATCTAGGATCATACTATTTAGTTGGGATTCCATCAGCTATCTTATTTGCTTTTGTCATGCACCTTGGTGGGAAGGTAAAAACAATTCCATTTTTCTGAATCATTCTGACTTCTGTCAATTTCATTAAAAAAATGTCATTCTACTTTGTATAGGGGCTTTGGCTAGGGATCATATGTGCACTAGTTGTTCAAGTGTCATGTCTTCTAATCATTACTATACGTACTGATTGGGAACAAGAGGTTAGTTAACTATTGCCTTTTTGCTATATCTTCTGCATTTTTTAAATTTTTATTTGAAGAGCCCTGAAGTGATATATGATTGTATTTTTACGAAATTTCATTTCATTTTCAGGCAAAGAAGGCTAAAGAAAGGGTGTATCATTCAATGAGAGCTGAGATCATAGTCTCATAAGTATAAATGATCTTTTCACCTACTATATTTTAACTACTTGTGGCAAGAGAATCTAACCTTGCATTCAATCAAAGCCAAGTCTCTCAAATGAGCACATTTATCTATCAAGAAGTTACAGGATCAAATATTGCACCTGTAGTACGTTGTACTTCATAACTTCATGTAAGAAGTTAAAATAATAAGATTTAGCATACGGTAGAATATCAACAAGTGAATTAGGTGTTAATCTTAATAGGAAATTTGGGCTAAATTATACTTTTGTCTCTTATAATCTTCACTCATAATTTTGGTCTTTCAATTTTTAAAATTAGTATTAATGTTGATATGAATCGAAAACATATCACTTAGATAATAATTTGACAACTTATATAGATTTATGATGTGAATGATACAAATCAACGATTTTGCACTAATTTAACAAATAAATATAAGATTTATTTTAAAAAACACGATAAAAAGTAACCTTATAAAAACTAAATCATGACCTTCAATATAAAAGTCGATATTTAAACTAACAACTTTTTTAGTTTTAACTTCAACAATATATTATATATTACATTATTTTTTATTTTTAAATTTTTTATCTCATGTTAATATAGTATAAAATAATAAATAATAAATTTATTTAATAAAATGATATTTGTAGTAAATCAAATGCATAATTTATTATTTAATATATTATTTATACAATAAATATCATCATACAATATAAAATAAATCGTAAGAAAAAATAATGTAACTTAATATATCTATTATTTAAATATATTAATTTATTTTATATTGTATATTTATATTTATTGGATAAAAAACATATTAAATAAAAAAAACTTATATTTATGAGATGAAAAGTATAGTAAAAACATAAAATAATATAATATAATATTGATATATATATATATATATATATTATTTAATTTACTTTACTTTACGTACAATAAATAATATAAATATTATAATATTTTGAAAATAGTTAATATAACATTATTGAAGTATTAAAAAAAGGGGAAAACATAATTAAAAAATATTTTTATAACATAATTAAGATGAAGTAAGGAGTTAAAAAAAAACAGTTAACTCGAGTAATAATATTACGTATAATATACTTTTCAAATTATAACTAAACAAATAGATAAGTGATTTGATTGGTGTTATGAGAAAAATAAATTCACATAACTATAAATATTGAGAGACTAAAATTGTGAATTAAAGATTATAAGAACTAAATTAAATATTAATATACCGTTAAATTTTTTTAATCATTCAAAGTAGAATCAACATTGGTTAACATAAATAATAGTGACTTATATTTTTTTCAATAAAATTGTCCAAAATCTAAATCTTGACTTTAAGTATGAAATAAGTTATAATAAAAAAATAATATTTATTTTACACACTCACAGTCGATAAATATTTTGCATAAATATCATGTATTAAAAAAAAAATTCAGAGTGGAAGTAAGCTGCTGCATGTTCCACCATCTTAATGCCCCCACTTAGTAAAATTTAATCTAAAGTGGAGTGATAGAAAAGTCTCTTCAATCTTTAAGATCTTTAACCACAAAAATATAAAAACCCTGTCGCATCTTTGTCTCCTCGACAAAATTACCAACTTCTTGTTCATACATTGAATCTTGTCTGGTCGACTCTCTAGTTCATTCTCAAAATTGTCACATTGATAATAATCCACAATGAGATCGAGTTTTTGAAATTAGATTCAACTTCTTTGAAAACTCATGTGATGGACCACTTAAAATTAAAACCATGGTAAAACTAATCGTCAGGTCATTCATTAGACTGCCAAAGAAAAAAAAAATTATTTTATTCTACAATACAGCAAAAGTAATGTTTCAATTTAATTATACAGTTATGAAAAAGAAGTTTAAGAACAGAAGGCTATAATCTAAATTCTATAGAATGAATATAGGAAAACAGAAAAGAGAGACGACGGTGACGGTCGAGACTGCCACAACTTGTTTCTTTCATTCTTGACATGCATCGTCTTTCTTTTCATCCTTCAACTTAGTGTTTAATTTTAATTTGTTTTGTCAACTTGATCAAAGTATTTTCTTATTAAGACATAGAGACACTTTAATAATAACTTGGAAGTTGTTCACTATTGATGGTTTTCCCAAGGACACAAGGAATGAGACAGCATATATTAGACGATGAACACCGAATTGGACCATAACTTCCCCAATTATACAACATGCATTCATGGACCATAAACAATTGCACTTGTACAACATTATTTTTCTCAACTCATTTTAACCCATTTATACTATACTCTTTTTTCAACTTTTTATTTATTTATTTATAATACTCAAATTAAAATTATTATATTCTTTTCATAAGAGCCAATCTAAGAATAAATAACAAAAATAAAGAATAAATAACACAATTAGAGGATTTTTAATAAACTTAAAAATTAAAGTGATTAGATCTTAGAATTTCCATGATTTTTCCCAAGGTAATTTTTAATCTCTTAGGTGGAAAAAATTAGTTACAAACATTAAGCATAAGAAATTCACAAAGATGCATATAATTTACAATTATTAAATTGCATCGATCTAAACTCCAACTACAAAATTTAGATTACATATCAATTTCTTAATGTTAAAGCCTAAAGTTGAATTATGCTAAAGTTGGTATGAAAATGGAAATGGTAACAATTATCTTTTCACAGAATCACGTTAAACAAAGTATAATTCATACGTTAAAAACTATATGCAATCACTTAATTTGGGCGTGACTTTGAGACGCTAAAATAATCAACGGTTACGCTATTAAAGTTAGTCTACTAAACAACAAAATCTAAACGGTGAATAACAAAATGTTTACGACTCTCTCACATACTATGCCATATAATGCCCCTATTCAAAACACTAAAGACTAAAGGGGTCCAATAGCAAGCATAACAAAATTTATGCCTTCTTTACATAATAAGTTTATTACATATTCTCATGAATATAATTTATAGTAAATAAAGTTGGACAATAATAGACTTGTTACTACATTAATTAATTAAATTATTATTTTTAGATAAACATGTTATTGTACCGATTTTATTGATAATTAATTTCTATCAAGAAATTTAATTTTTTTTAAAAATTTGAAATTAAAATTTTACTTGAAGTAATTAAATTCAGTACCACTAATACCAATAACTTGTTGGTTTTAATTAAATTATATTGAATACAGATAATAAATTAAAAGCCTTGAAGAAAATTATTTATTTATAAAAAATGATTTAAATATAAATATAAAGCTAATTCTTGGAAATGTCCTGTTCACGTAAGATACATGAAACTGAAACATGGCAGAGTAAACATCTGAATTATGAATTATATATAAGTATATCATGTTAATACTAATTTAAAACAATATGAGTCTTATCTTTAAAATCTGTTTTCTATATATTCACCTTACAATTATAGAAGCAGTAAGCCATTCAAATTACTACAAAATAGAAAGAAGAAAATATGGGAATTGGGAACCAGGAAGTGATGAAAGAAGTGAAGAGGCAGCTGTGGTTAGCAGTGCCTCTCTTCTCAGTTGGAATTCTGCAATTCATTCTTCAAACCATCTCTTTGATGTTTGTTGGCCACCTTGGTACCCTTCCTCTCTCTGGTGCTTCCATGGCCACTTCCTTTGCATCGGTCACTGGCTTCAACTTATTGGTATATATCAATATACTTCTTTTCCATTTTTTATTTGTATCAATCAATGTTCATTAATTATCATTCATGGTAACTACATTAATGAATTTATAATAATGTGTATAGCTTGAGTTGAATTGTTTTGAAAGTTATTTTCATTGTTAATTTTTTTAATAATTATATGCCTCATGTCAATGTTTTGATCAGTTGGGGTTAGCTACTGCACTGGACACATTTTGTGGTCAATCAAATGGGGCAGGACAGTACCATATGCTTGGAATACACATGCAAAGATCCATGGTTGTTGTTTTAACGATGAGTGTGTTCCTTGCCATCATTTGGGCCAACACAGAACCAATTCTGAATGCTATGCACCAAGACAAAGCCATATCCAAGGAAGCTGGCTCCTATGCGCGTTACATGATCCCGAGTTTATTTGCATATGGTCTTCTTCAGTGCATTCTCAAGTTCTTGCAAACCCAAAACGTTGTGTTCCCAATGGTGCTAACTTCTGGAATTGCAGCTATGTTTCATGTCCTTTTGTGTTGGCTTTTGGTTTTCAAGTCAAGGCTTGGAAGCAGAGGAGCAGCTTTGGCCAATTCCATATCTTACTGGCTTAACGCAATCTTCATTTCTCTCTATGTGAGGTTCTCTTCTTCATGCAAACAATCTTGGACAGGCTTTTCAAACATGGCCCTGCACAACCTACTTGAATTCCTTAAACTCGCTGTTCCTTCAGCTCTTATGCTATGGTAAACAAATTCAACTTTTTGCAATGGTGTGCAGATCTTAATTACATTTTGTGGAGTTCTGATGAAACATAATTTTTTTTGTCATCAACATTCAACAGCTTAAAAGTCTGGACATTTGAATTGATGCTCCTCGTGGCTGGACTTCTTCCTAACCCAGCAATAGAAACTTCAGTGCTTTCAATATGGTTAGTGTGTTAAAATATACATAAACACACAAAGTAAGAACATTTTTGACTTTTATCATATATTATATCTGTCACCTATATTCTGTAAATGACTAATGGAGTGCTTAAAAAGTCAATTTCGTATTTTTCCAGCCTTAATACATTTGGTTTAGCTTGGATGATCCCTTTTGGATTCAGTGCTGCTGTAAGGTATTATTTTATGTGGAAGAGGTCACATATTGAAATAGTATATTTTATTATGCAAGTGAGGTTATGATAGTTAGAGAAATTGATATTGGAATTGAAAATTGACAGTGTAAGGGTGTCCAATGAATTGGGGGGTGGAAATGCAGAAGCAGCGAGTGTAGCAGTAGCGGTGGTGTTAGTGATGGTGTTGATTGAAGGGGTGATATTAGTTTCAGCGATGATTCTACTTCGGAATGCGTGGGGACATGTTTATAGTAATGACAAAGATGTAATCAGATACGTCTCAGTCATGATGCCAATTTTGGCCGTTTCAAGCTTCCTAGATGGCTTCCAAAGTGCACTTTCAGGTATTCCTCCAAATTTCTTTTGCTTTTCTTTTTCTTAATAACCATGTTTGTTTGTTGGCCCAACAAGCCCAAATATATTTTTTCGGCCTAATCAGGCGACGAAAAAGACGAATCAATAAGCCTGTGCACGATATATTTTTAGTTCTTTAAATTTAAAATAAATTATATATAAAATGACAAATTAAAATAATTATACAATAAATTTAATAAATTTTTTAATAAAATTTGAGTATAAAAATTAAAATAATTTTTTTTAAAATTATAGAAAATAAAAAAATTAATTTTAAAATTAATTTTTCTCTATCTAATATTGGGATATGGTATCTAAATGAAGCAACTTGTTTAATGCTATGTCCTTCCCCAAAAATGGTTCAGCCCCCACTGATGGTTTCAAGTTATGTGTCCACAACAATCAGGCATTCTTGCAGGATGTGGGTGGCAGAAGATTGGTGCCTGTGTCAATCTTGGATCATTTTATCTTATAGGGGTTCCTTGTGCTATAGTACTAGCATTTCCACTACACATGAAAGCCAAGGTTAAAGCTCTATTATCTATTCTTTACGAATGTTGCCAAATCTGCCTTTTTTTTTAGCCTTGTAGATGTTAACAGTTTTCTTTTGTCACACAGGGGCTCTGGTTAGGGATCATTTCTGCATTTATTGTGCAAGTGTTGTTTTACGTACTCATTACTTTTCGAACTAATTGGGAGGAACAAGTAAGCAATTTCAAAATCCTCCACGTTTGTGAGCTGATTTTTTTTTTTCTTCTCTATTAATAATTACTTTGTCCTGTTATTGCATTTACACAAATCATGTTCTTTATTAGGCACAGAAAGCTCAAAGAAGAGTTGAGCGCTCAACCATCTCGCCAACTACTCAGGACAACGAATTACCACGGCAAAAGTTGGAACTAGTTCCCTAATTAAATTATGGTTATTGGTTTTATTATTCTGATCGCAGAAACTGCCACCAACTGATAGTAATTATTAAGTAACTCGTTAATTATTCATTAGCATTGACGAATCTTCCATTTACACTACGCAGTCTTTCATCATAAATCGCATGTTTATGTTAGAGATAGAAAAAAAATAAAATCAAAGAGCATGTAAAGGAAAGATTATAAAGATGGTCGCAACGAAAATTAAATCTAGATTTTCATGTTTCTAATTACTCTAATCTTTCTCTACCCAACCACTAAACGCTAACCCTAGTGGTTTTTACCTATACTTTAATATCCAAATACATCAGCCTCTGAATAGTATAAGTAACTTAAATGCATATATCATTGAATTCTTTGGTGACTTTTCCTGAAGGGCATGAGTCGTTAATTCTATTTTCTAACACTATAAGTTTTTAAATTAATTAAGTATGTTACAATTAAGCACTTTATGCCACATGAAACCTAAGGGATGAGCATCAACCGGGCACTCGATTCAAAATTGAAAGAAAAAAATTATAATATTTAAATTATTTAATACTTGAATAATTTTATTTATTCTGAATCTAAACAAGTTAAATATATTTGAATGATTGAATATATAAAAAATGAATATAAGAAGTGAAAAGAAATAAATCATAAATTAGATAAAATTTTTATTTAGATTAATTTAATAGTTTAAAATCTAATACATTTTTACTCATATAAAATTGTCCGATAAAATTAAGATTTATTCAAACCAAAACTCACATAAACCAACAAGTCATTTGATTGAGCCCCATGAATTATAGTTTTTATTTATTTTTCAATTTTTTGTAATTTTTTTTTCATATATCTCATACACTTTAAATAACCATTCAAAATTATTTACACATTCTAATTATAACTACTCATACATATTTAGTATCAATTATTTTTATTTTACATAAAATCCACGAAAACACAAAGTATTTTTTTTAGCTCATATAATATAATATTTATGTTATAACTTAAACAAAGTAAATGGCATGGTGGTTTAAGTGACGAAACAAAAGGTAAAACTTATGAATATTGAGTTATAATCGTCTTTTTTAACCATTTTTTTTTATCAATTTTGACATCATGGCTGATCAAACAATTTAACATTCAATTACCAAAACAAGCAATTTAACATTTTATATATTATTGATATAATCTTTTATATGGTATCTAATAGAAATATAATTTTTAAAATAATTATTATAAAATTTAGTGAACGTACTATGTTTAACAATTTGTAGTTGAATAATAGTGTATATTATGAATTTATATTTTAATTAAATTATTAAAATTATCTTTATTCAACAGTGCTTCTGCCTGTTTAAACTTTTCAAGAGTTTTCATACGTGATCGGGAATTATAAAAAATCCTCGATTTTTAGAGGTACTTCTTATCCCTTAATTTAAATATTATCATAACCTCTCCTCAGGTAAACTAAATATTACACTGACTAATAATTATTACGATTTTAGAATAATATACATTGGAATTCTATTGTGAATTCTGTTCTTACTGATAGCATATACGTTCTTGTTTTTCTTCTCTTAAACCAAACTTAACAAGAAAAATTCTTCCTTCTTTTTCTTAAAACAAAGTTTAATTTATTATATTGGACGGTTATACTTTCATAGACACTTAATTCAACATTTTTGTATAGCCATCACACAAAAATATACTACAAATATTTGACTTCAAAATTAATGAACAACAATCGACCAAAGTTTTGGTCTCGATTTCTGACTATGCAAAAGAATACAGAAACTATGTCCAATCGCTCACAGTACCTTTGATATTTCTTAGTCAAGTGGCTCCTATTTAATAAAGTGGTTAAAGAAAAACAAAACAAAACATAATATTAGTTTTCTAAGGAAGATAAAGACGTTTTAACAGTTAATATATTTTTAAAAGTTATTAAAATTATAATTTATTATATATTAATGTATGAATTTAGTTCACTTTTGGCTATCAAAAAAGAAAATTAAGTTTTAGTTCACTATAATAAATTACATTATCCATAGATTAGAATTTATTCTACATGAGTTTTGAATAGTTATTATCAAAGATTATGATCTTATTATAAATAAAAATTGAATAATAGTATTTAAATTAAATTCTCTATAATATTCAATTTAACTATTTTCCCATCAATAATAAATTTCTTTTATTTTTTTTTCTATTTTTTAATCAATGATAATCAAACTTGATATTAAAGACATGCATCTTATTTAATCAAGCTGAGCTAGACTCTTTTGATCTTTTCTTCTTTTTCATCTAGAGTTAATTTTTCTTTCTTGTGGAAAACTAAAATTTCTTTTTAAGAAGTCACATTTATATGTTGAATGACATTTCTACTTGAGTTTAATTTGTATACGCTGTCAGCGTCAACATATAAAGATTTTTATATCAACAACTGATTAGAAATTATCTTAAATATAATTTTTAAAATAACTACTATAAGAATTTAATGAGTATATATTGTAAAAATTTTACATAATTAATTAATTAAAAATTATTTTTGATATTATTTATAAGGTAGTTATCTTGTATTAAGGTTAACAAATTTATCCTATTTTCTTTTATTATAAAGCTCAACAAAGTTGCTGTATATGGAAATATATAATTTATAGTTTTTTTTTTGGTAAGGTATAAATTTATAGTTTTAATACAATCAATACATTCTAAATATTTTTATTATTATTTGTTTAGTTTGGTGGATTTAGATTCCCTTATAGTGTGTTTGGATGAGGAATTTTACAAATTTAAGGAATCTTAAATTCTTGGTATTTGAATTACTTTGATTTCAATTTCTATCATTCTTAAAATATTTTGTTTGGATGAGTCAATTCAAATTTCTTAAATTTTAAATTGTTAGGTTGAATATGATAATTTGATTCTATCATAATAAAATTGATTTTAAAAATATATATATATGTTGAGATTTTTAAATTAAATTTTATAAAAATAAATATTAATCCATTTTTAAATATTTAAAAATTTTAAAAATTAATATTAGATAATATTTAATAATTTTAAAAATATTTTTGAATATCTAATAATTAAAAGAATATTTGAAATTATACTATTTTAAGGAATTTTACAAATACTTGGATTTCAAATTCTTTGTAAATTCCTCATCCAAACAAAGCATTTCACCTCAAAGAATTTGAAATTCTTCAAATAAATGAATTACCCTATATAAATTCCTCATCCAAACACACCATTAAGTTATTTTGTTATAATTATGCGTATGTAATAAATTTATTTAAAATTAATTATAATAAAGTTGTGTAAGATTCAACTCGTGATATAATCTAAATAAACCAGTGTTTTAGTCTTTGAAAATAATATTATTGTTATATTAGTTTTTAAAATTAAAAAATTCAAATAAGTACATGGGAATACAATCCGTAAACTATATTGATCTAAAAAGAAATAGTAACTTTAAGTAATAATATTAACATATGTTTAAAAGCTAAAATAATAATAAATAACTAAGTTTAGAAACATAGATAAAGCAACTAAAAATCTCATAAATTTATTTAAAAAATGTTAATTTCAACATACTTTCAAAAACCAAAATGATGATTTACTCTAAAATAGTAAAATCCAGATTCAGCGTTTTTGGCTGACTGAGTCTAAGTTATTTCTTTTTTGACATTTGTGATAATCGGCTTATTAAATACAGTTCTATCAATGATTATTCTTAAGAAAATAATTCGTCAATCGATAATTTTCAATTAAAGGCGTGCGATTACCAAAACTAAAACAGTTTGAACACGATATCAATTTTCACGTTTTTCACGTATGATAATATGAACAATACCATACTATTTAAACTCATAAAAAATTTTAGGTTAAGAGATAACGTTTTGTATAGATATTTAATAAATATATTTTTTTCATTATCAAGGATGCAGAACAACAATTAAAGAGTCTAACAAATATTAAATAATAGATATCTCTTCCTAATTATTTAAATTTTCTGTATTTTCAAGAATCAAGATTCAAAATTCAACTACTTATACAACTCCAAACCGTTTGAAGTTGATTAAAAAAAGAGATACGTAAATTCATGTCATAATAGCAGTCATCTTTAAGCTTCAGAAGTGCATAGGCTAATTTAGCTTGCTTGTGCCACCTTCTGAGAAATAACTAGCATAACTCCAACAAAGAATTTATTTATGGGAAAATGCTCGGAAAGTTTGTTAGCCACCACATGAGTCCAACAGATACCAAAGTTGACAATTCAACGATGTAAAGTTGTAAACTGATTTTGGCACCAGAATGATTACTAACTACTAGCATGCATCTCATGATTCATGAGCCACACAGGAAACTTTACTTGTCCTAGTCTCACTGTGCACTTTGCATTCCACTATAAATAGCACACATCTACTTCCCAACATGCATCAACACACACATTAAAACACTCAAGAGGTTCAAGATTAAGAAAAAGTGAGAGAGATGGAGAACTTCCCAGTGATCAACTTGGAGAATCTCAATGGTGAGGAGAGAAAAGCTATCCTAGAGAAAATTGAAGATGCTTGTCAGAACTGGGGATTTTTTGAGGTACCCCACAAAATATATCTGTATATTTGCAACCTAAAATTTTCTTCATGTTCGTTTTAACTATATTAATGATGTTGATTTCCAAATTGCAGTTGGTAAATCATGGAATACCCCATGAACTTTTGGATACTGTGGAAAGGTTAACAAAAGAGCATTATAGGAAATGCATGGAGCAGAGGTTCAAGGAGGCAGTGGCAAGCAAAGGGTTAGAGGGTATCCAAGCTGAAGTAAAGGACTTGGACTGGGAGAGTACCTTCTTCTTGCGCCATCTCCCAGATTCCAACATTTCTGAAATCCCTGATCTCAGCCAAGAGTACAGGTTAGACAAATTGAAAACTAAGAGATGCATGCATGACATGTTATATTTTTACCAAAAATAACAAATTCATCAGCAAACCACACATTTAAACTTGACAAACATCACATCAAACATCATATCTTAACTCAAAACCTTAACGTATAAGGTTTATGAGTCTTTCTCATGTATATGTTACTCAACTTGTCAATCTCTATCCAATGTCAAACACTCGGACTTCATTCACACTTAAACATGTGATTTGGTTGACAAAATTGATAATGTGATATATTATATTGTCTACATATACATAAAAACACATAATCTGAACTAGACGAGATATGGATGCAGGAAGGCGATGAAGGAATTTGCAGAGAAATTAGAGAAGCTTGCAGAGGAGTTACTAGACCTTTTATGTGAAAATCTTAGATTAGAGAAGGGGTACCTGAAGAAGGCCTTCTACGGATCAAAAGGTCCAAATTTTGGCACAAAGGTTGCAAACTACCCTCCATGTCCGAAGCCAGAGCTGGTGAAGGGTCTTCGTGCACATACCGATGCTGGTGGGATTATCCTTCTCTTGCAAGATGACAAGGTCAGTGGCCTGCAGCTTCTCAAAGATGGCCACTGGGTGGATGTGCCTCCAATGCGCCACTCCATAGTTGTTAACCTTGGTGATCAGCTTGAGGTACATTCTTTTAGTAAGAGTCTGTTTAGATACAAACTATAAACATTTTCTTGAATATCTCTATTGAAAATAAGATTTTTTTCCGATAAAAAAATCCTCAAAAATACTCAAGTCAATATCCCAACACGTTGTAATATCACTCTCTAATAGTCTAATGCAATACTTTTCTGTTGTGGGTATAATTCTCATCCAAGTTTTTTGGTGAAACAGGTTATCACCAATGGGAAATACAAGAGTGTGGAGCACCGCGTGATTTCTCGAACTGATGGGACCAGAATGTCCGTAGCCTCATTCTACAACCCTGCCAGTGATGCTGTTATCTACCCCGCACCAGCATTGTTGGAGAGAGATGCAGAGGAGATCGACAAAGTATACCCAAAATTTGTGTTTGAGGACTACATGAGGCTCTATGCTACACTTAAGTTCCAGCCAAAGGAGCCAAGATTTCAAGCTATGAAAGGAGTGGATTCATTTTAGTTTCGTCCCAACTTGAACAGCTTAATTGGATCATTGTTATACTACACTGCTGGAAGAAATTTTATTGATTAGAAAAGAGTGAGAAAATAATTATTGGTTGTTTAATTTTCCAAAGTCTTGTTACAGTGGTGGATTGATTATTTGTACTCCAGAAAATAAAGAAGTGTTCTAATGATATTCAACATTACTTGTTCTTGCTGAATCTACTTTACTAAATTTGTCAATCTTGATTGTGAAATTAGCATTCAAGAAAATCCTTAATAACTCATTCCGAGTATATAATATTATCAATCCACATTCCTTTATAATTTCAAGATAAGTACAGTACACATCAATTCAATATAAGATAATACACCAAACACCAACGCACCAAAAACAAAAATGGTAACTACAAGAATAGACAAGCCAACTGCCTTGTCTATGTTGGTCCACTAACTTGATCAAGATTAGATTAAAACAGTACTTGGACTTTTATGGCATATGTTTCAACCAAAAGAATGAGAGGTAACAAAACTTGAAGTCTTTTATCTAAATATTTGTTCTGAACGTGTAGCAGTAGCGGTTACAGCTTAATAGACTATGTTCTCTGGTGTCATTGACTCATAGACTCTATCTGTAGCCTTCTTTGCCTGAATAAGAAGCAATTTCAGAAAAATATATGGACACAAACCAGTCTCACAAATATGAAAGGACAATGAAAAGGTAAAAGTGCACCTCTTCCTCCCAATCAGTACGTAAGGTGATGATTAACAGAGACAATACTTGAACAAGAAGTTCAAATATGATCCCCAGCCACAGCCCCTACACAAGTATTTTAATAGGTAAAACAAAAATCAAATGATTTTATTTTTATGAAAATGACAAGAGGACAAAGCTGCCATGCCACAAAGGATAGACTTCTTTTACCTTCCCTCCAATATGCAATACAAAAGAAAAAACGATGGCTGATGGAATCCCAACTAGATAAAAAGAACCTAGATTGATAAAGGCACAAATTTTCTGCCAGCCACATCCTCTAGCTGTGCCTGCATTGAGTTAACTAATTGAGATGATATACAGCATTGTACTAGCAAATTTAGTTGAACGCTAGCTGCAAGTTTTCTACTTCGAGTTTTTTATTTTTCATCCACAAATTAAGTTAAAATAATTTAGATCATGCTTTCATGTGATGTGTAGAAAAAAAATGCGAGTCCCATGGAAAAATGGCTACAACACAAATTTGGCTTTTTAAAGTTTAAATCGAAAGTATTTCATCTGCATATTTTATGCACTATTTTTTTTTTCACAATGATGGTAATAAAGTTCGAACTTAGGATTTTGTGTATATTACTTAATTTTCCACTACTAAACTGACTTTAACGATTCATATTTTATGCACTATGAATCTAAAGAAGATTTTCTTCTATCATTTTAACAAAAAAATGAAAATGATTGTGAAAATATTTTTGATTGAATTTTATAAAACATTTTCAAAAGTCAGCCCAAAATCCACACAATAAACAAACGGGAAAGAAGAAAAACCTGAAAGCACACACTGGATTCCATCCAGGAAGTTGGATGCAGCAAGCAATGGCAACATTATTGCTACATATTCTACAACTTCTACTTCCTTACTATATGCATAACCCCAAACATTGCGCATTAGCATCATTACTGCTCCAACTAAGGTTCCCTCAACAAGGGCCATTGCCAAGACAACGTAAACAGCTAAACGTGCAACCCAAGGATGACCAGCTCCGAGTTCATTTGACACACGAATGCTGTAAATAATCCAGCAAGCATTATGGAACCTATATTCTAATACCTATAATTAATCAAGGGAAAGATATTGAAAGCCAAATTGAAAAGAAAACAGAACATTTGATAGATATGTACTTAAAAGTTAAATGCCTAGGTTGCTATAGAACTATAAAACTAGATAAGTACTACTTACCTTACAGCTTCACTGAAACCAGAAGGGATCATCCAAACAGTTGAAGCTGTATTCAAGCTGAGAAGAACAACTTTAGGATGATGAAAATAATGTAAAAAAAATGTCATAGTGCATGTAGGACTCACCTCCTAGCTAATATAAGACTTTCATAAGTATCTCAAATAGGAAACTAACCAGATAGAAAGCACTGATGTTTCCAACTTCGGATTTGGTAGAAGACCGGATAGGAGAACCATCATTTCAAATGACCACATTTCCAAGCTGTCAACATTAGGATGCCGAACTTAATTCAAAGTGAAATGTTGAGAAAATCAACAGAAGTGTAAAGCTTGACCAATTATGATAGTAGAGAATGGAATTACCAAACCATAACAGCCGAAGGAATGGCAAGCCTTAGAAAAGAGGGAATGTTATGCAGTGCCTCTTTTGAAAAGCCTGTCCAAGATTTTGCACACTCAGGAGAAAAGTTGACATAGAGTGCCAGCATCAAAGCATTCACACAATAAGATATAGAGTTTGCTATAGCAGCTCCTCTACTTCCTAGTCCAAATTTGAATACCATAATCCAACAAACAAAAAGATGGAGTAATGTAGTAGCTCCAGAGCAGAATACCATTGGAAATACAATATTTTGGGTTTGTAAGAATCTGTTTAGGCACTGAATAAGACCATAGGCAAAAAGGCTTGGAATCAATAACTGAGCATATTTTCCAGCTTCTGCAGAGATTTCAGGATCTTGGCCAAGGAAAATTAGAATGGATCTTGTATTTGCCCAAATGACTGCTAGGGGTATGCTGACAATCATTAGAACGAGCATGGCCCTCTGCGTGTGTATGCCTAACATGCGGTACTGTTTTGCTCCATATGACTGGCCACACAAGGTGTCCAAGGCACATGCCATTCCCAGCTATCCTAATCAAAAACCAACAATAGCTTAGAGCACATTGCACTAAACTATCCATTGCTTGCTCAATGCATCCAAATCAACTAGAAAAGGTTCTTAATCTAATCAAAAGAACCTTTGTATACATTCCGATGCTTAAAAGAGCCAATGCTAAAAAAAGTACAGTGTATGCTTTCCAGCTTCCATAACCATCAACATGAGACCAAAAATCCATTTTGTTAAAGAGTATTTCAAGATATTAAGATAAAAAATAAAAAAATAAAAAAGTAAAACACAACTTACCAATAAGCAAATACCAGTGACAGAAGCAAATGAAGTAGCCATTGAAGCACCAGAGAGAGGCAACTCACCGAGGTGGCCCACAAACATTATAGATATAATCTGAATGCAAAAGTTTAGCAGACCCACAAATACCAAGGGCCCTGCAAGACATAACTGCTTCTTGACTTCTTCAAAAATTTCTCTTTTTTCTCTTACCCTTCTCTTGTTTTGCTGTGTTTCATTATTATCAACTATGGTTCCATCTTGCTCCGAGATTTGAATCAAGGGAGATCGTAGAGATGCATTTCGACCGTCTCCGTCCATGTTTAGTTGTTTTTACACCTTTTGGTCACACACACTGGTGGGTTTTATTGGCTTATGCCATATACAATAATTTACACCTTTTGGTCACAGAGGTAGTATTATACAATTCTGAAACTTGGAAGTTCGTGCCGTGATCATCATCGATAACTCATGTCATTTTTATTTTTTTTTAACTCATCTCTTTTCTAGTTCTCTTTCACTTTCCTCCAAAAGTTTCTTTCCCTAGATA